AAAAAAAAAAAAAAAAAAAAAAAAAAAAAAAGAAAAAACTGAGCATTCTGCGTATTGCAAAACTGCGCCTTTTCTGAAAACATCGTATTTTTGACATTAAGACCGAAACAGTTCCTAACCCATCCCAACTGAACAATGCTCAGTCTTAAATGCACAGTTACGGTCTGAAATAAACCACAGAAAGAAAAACAATGTTAAATGAATGAACTAAACGCCAAAAGGTAACAATATATCACAGCACTAAAGAATTACCCATTGTTCTATAACTTAAGCTGAATCTTCGAAAACCATACTGTAATTCAGCAGTCAGTTTACAACAACGGGACAATAAACTCAAATCCTAATGTTTATCCTGGTCTTACTACACCCAAAGCAGTGCAAAACCAGGAAAAGGGTTCGAGTTATACAATGCATATCAGGTAAAAGGCACAGATTAGATCTCTCTCATAATCAACAAACTAAAACTGTTAGACAGGTCCAAAATATTACATCAATTTTTATATGTACAACATTAATTTACTTAACAACAAAAACATGACAAATGTGTGAAGTGAAAATTTTACTTGAAAAGACGGATATGATACCGCCTAATAAACTAAGTTTCAATTTACTAGCGTCAGGAGAAAGAAACCTTCACCAGTTGGTGAAATAATATTTGTTCACACTCACTAGGCTTCCAAACATTTGTCAGTAAAGCTAGAATCGGGCGATATGAATAAAGGTTACATCACTCGGGATACACAAGACATAGCAGCCACTGCAATCAACTATAACAAGTTTGACATCTCACTTCACAAAATGCTTTTTACTAGCTCTCAATGAGGCAGGAGTACCAGATTTACAGATTCATAGTGTAGGAATTCGAAAAACCATTGCCGGATTCAATCCTAATGACCTGAGGTCACCCACTTCGTAAAATAAGCTTTTAGAAACTTGTTAATTTTGATCGGCAGCTGAGAAAGGAAAGCAAAATGAAGGCTTTAGAGACTTGATGAACAAACATCGTGTAACTAAAAACTACTAGTATCGACCAACGCATAAGAGACTAAACAAAAAATCCATCGCAGTTGGCAGCTGTGGTCGTTGTGGTTGTTGTCGATATAGTCTGGGCAGCATTGGCAATACGGCAGTGCGCCAGCGCAGCCGCAGTCTGCGCATTAGGCGGGTAATGTTGTCTATCAATTTGCCGAGGTAACGTTCGTTGCATCGTTGCTATCAACCTCAAAATAAAGACGAATTAAATCACTGAAACCATATAATAGTTACCCCGCTAAGACTTATGACTTTAAATCATCTCAACGTCAACAGCCTCAGAGAAGAAATCTTGGACGCCAAATGAAAAGATATCTTTGTGCCATCAACTCCTAATAAGAAACTGAAATAAAAACAAACTTGTGTAATCTCTGCGCTTCTTCAGCGTTAAACCCGTAGCTCAAAAGATCAATATGATTAAGTCTTGTAAGGTCAGAAACCGACTGTAGACCTGCCAGATGCAGCTTCGTGGAATAATGGCTGAGACCTGCTCGCTTTAAGAAGTCGTAGAGAGGCACGGGAGGAGGCATACACGCCGGCGGAGATGGGATCTTCCCATCACCAGGATCTCCCTGTGCTCCCGTAACCTTGCCAATCCCGTACGAAATACTTAAAAGGATCGACTTTATCTACTCATCAAAAGATTAATAGAAACATTAAGCAACTTTCATTCAGTATTACTTTGCGGCAGACTCAAGAGCGCCAGAATCAACATAAACGAGATCAGGATGTCGACAGTACTCTTCTAAAGTTTGTAATATTTGAGCAAACGTCGGTCGCCTGTGCCTATCAATGTCCCAACATCGTAACATTAATACATGTAAAGAAGTTGGAGTATCCATTGGAGCAGGCAAACGATAACCAATCGTTATTTCGCTAATCACTTTTTGATTAGTCCATTCCCAGTAAGGTCTTTCACCAAAAGAGCAAACCTGAAATTAAGTTGTCTCTTTCCTTTCCTGACAAAATAGTAACTGTCTTACATAGTGAATTAAGCCGTCAAATAGTATAACCAAGGGCAATTACCACAAATCTCACCTCCCACATTACTACACCAAAGCTCCAAACGTCTGAAGCTGCTGTGAACTTCCTATGTGTTATTGCCTCTGGGGCAGTCCATCTCACAGGTATTTTTCCACCATTAGTTGTATATTCCTGCTCCACAGAACCCTCCAGTCCCCGACTAAGCCCAAAGTCGGCAATCTTGCAGGTGAGCTGTGCATCGACGAGAACGTTTCGAGCAGCAAGGTCCTGAAAACATCAAAGTTTAACAACTATGAGAAACTGTCTAAAGACTCTATAGAAACGGGAACATCAATAAACAACGAAAGTGTGACAAATTCTTACTCTATGAACAAATCCTTTTTCTGTCAAGTACTTCATGCCAGCAGCTATGCCACGTAACATATCCAGGATCTGTACGATTTGTAGTTGGCCATCATCGTGCTTCCGCAAAAACTGATCTAATGAACCATTTTCCATAAATTCTGTGACAATCATTACCTGAAATCAACAACTGTTTTCGTGTGTGTCAAAAAACACTCCTCCTTTTTGTCAGAGTAACGCCTTAAGGTCTGAAAAAAAATTAAAAAAACTTAAAAATCAATGAAAAAACAAACAGGCTCGCTCTTTGTGACAACACCAATCAAGCGAATAACATTTTCGTGCTCGAACTGCCCCATTATCGAAGCTTCCATCAGGAAATCAGCCTTCGCCTTGTCGCTGCTTCCCGGCTTCAGTGTTTTTATGGCAATAGTTTTTGCCTAAAGAAATTGAGTTGGCGTTGGAAAATACGTAAATTACAGTAAGATGCGAATTACAAACTTGTTGAAAATCATAAGCAGCAATTTTGGGACTTGGCTGTAGAACGCCTTTGCAGACTTCACCGAACTCGCCACTTCCAATAACTTCTGTGATGCGGATAAGGTTCGGATCAACATCGTTTGCAAACTCCAGTAATGCCTTCAATTGAAAATAAAGTACTGAAAGTATAAGCAAAGAAAAAAAACCAACTAATTTTGGTAACACCAACCTGATTAGGATCTTCATATGCCGTTGGGTCAACATACGGCTTGAACCTTGCACTGCAGTAGCAAGCTGAGGAATGATGACTTCCATACTGAATAAGTGGTGCGCCCACTAAATAAAATACAAAGCTGTTAAAAATACTAGCGAAGTTAGCACCAACAATTTTAAATATTAGAAGCGAGTCCAAGATACTTTAGAAGGAAATTGAAGAGCATAGTAGCACATGCAGATTCAAAGTTCAAAGTAGCATTTCTTAAGCAGAAAAAAGGGTAAGCAACTGAACTTGAAAAAGCAAACACCCCATTCTGCTTCAAAAAAAACCAATTTTATGTTTAGGGACCGGACAACAAAAACGTAAAAACAATATGTCGCAAATAAACAAAAAAAAAATTACTGATATATATACATATAAACTAATATTTCAAAAAGCACAGTGGTAAGCGATAAACGAAAAAAAATTTTGATGCTCACATTTTCCGCGAAAAAAGCTTTGCATTATGCCCGGATGAGGAGGTGTATTGTAGTCTGGAGTCAAAGTTCCTGAAAAAAAAAAGAAAATATGAATGAAACGATACGAAGAAAGAAGAAGCAAAAAGACAAGTCATGCAGTTGACATGAAGAAGGCGAGTTAAAAATTTTTTGATGCTTTGTTAGTTTTAACTAACAAAGCATCAGAAAATAAGGAATTTTCAAATCCAACTACAGTGAAAATGAGAGGGATAAACCACATCAGCAAAGTTCTTGTTAATTTTAACTCGTCTTGCATGCATCAAATCAAACACTAGCCGCCATTAGCTCAACAGATATAAAAATTGCCTACAAAGCGTTAAATGTTGCGGAAGCGTTTTAAAAAAAGACATTACCGTACGAATAAGATTGTCGACGAAAGTCTGACAGATTTTTATTTTTAAAAATTTTTTCCGGAAAGTGAGCAAAATAATAAAACTTGCACATGTATACTTATTTGCAAAAGCATCAAGTTTTCTGAAGCAGAATTTGAAAAGCATGAAATAAATATTCTTCTCCCGTAAGTTAAGGCAAAGGCATGTTATGGTAAGTAGTGACGAAAAGTAATTATGTGTAGATACCATTTTTATAAGAATCCAACCCATCACAGTCACTGAAGTGCTTACGATTGCTCTTGGATCTCATAGAGCGAATTATAAAAATAAAGGCAAAGAAGAATGTAAGAACGAATATGAACAATATGAGCCCAAATATGGGAAAACCACCAGACCAGAATGATTCTCTGAAATTCACGAAAGTTAGAGATGAAACAAACTACGAACCAAACAAAAAATGAATGAAATTCAATTTCGGCTAACATTGATGTAACTGGAGTATTGCTGCTTAAATCGTCAATCTTCGCATTCCCTGGCAACACTCCGTGGCCAACCTGATACCACAGCGGTTTACTCCAATTACCATATTCATCATTCCTCGTTTTCACACGTACCTGAAAAATTACGCCTGTGGTAACCAAATGCTAAAAATATGGAAAACAGGTTCAATTTAATAATGTCAAAAAAAGACTCAAGACTTTCGACAACCAACCTTGAACGAGTATCTGACATGGGGGTCCAGGTTCGGGACTGTGAAATACAGGAGAGCCGTTTTGTTGTGAAAAAATGTTCCATTGTGCCTTGTCTCAACCTACATTTAACATGTATTAGCAAAACCAGGTGAAAATGAAAGAGGATTAAAGGTACAAAAAAGTACTTCATATTCCAAATTTTCTCGTGCCATTACAGCTGGTGGTTTCCAAGATATAGTCACTCCATTGTCTTGTATCCCATCGATTCTGAAGTCGTCAACCAGCATAGGTGAAAACGGTCTGCAAAATTTTTCACTGCTGGAGGACTGAGTATATGAGTATACTCAATAACTGCACTGCTGACAAAGTCTACGCGTACCACCCACAATAAATCAGAAGTAAACAAATCTGATTCTCATCACTTACTTCGTTTCAACATCAATTATAGCATAATGACTCTGTCCGACTGGTACAAACTGCGAAACGTCATTTTCAGCAAAAATTTTTACTGAATAACGTCTGTTACTTTCCAACCCGGAAATTTCCAACCTTCTCTCAGTTAAAGTCAAGGAATTGGGAGAATAACGTGTCGAAGAAGGACAATCCGAGCACTTCACACGGTACCACAATTCCTAAAAAAGATGAACCTTTGAGAAGCTAGCACGAGAAAGAATTTAAAACAGCTTTTGTCACAAAACTCCATGATTTGATGGCAATCTTCTAAAGCAAATTTACTTTTTCTTAAAATAGATAAAAATTACCTTGCGTCCTCCTAGAGACACAGGTTCGTTCCATTCCAGTACTACAGAATCTTCAGTATTACGTGATGCTATCTTTAAATCAGTTGGTTTCGTTGGCGGCTCTGTAAATTAACACTTTAATACAAGCTCTAAAACGAAAAAAAAATAAGAAATTGCTGTTTTCACATTGTTATCTCCATTTTAAGAAGATAGCTTACTTGTACAGGGGGAATCCGCACTATCCGTTACTGCTCGGTAGTATCCAAAATCACACTCACATACTGATTTCTGTTTACCAGAGGAACGAGTATTCCGAGGACATCGTTTGCAGTTTGATGCACCAGGCCGCGGCTTGTAAAGTCCATCCGGGCAAACTTAAAAAATAGTTGTAGAAAGGCATCGAAGAACAAATTAGACCGTAATGGAAAAGCGAAGAGTTCTTATAATCGTGAAAAAGGTCGAAAAGTTTGTAAATAACTAATCTCTATATTTATAGAACGGCGATAAATAATGCAGTAAAAACTTGATACTAAACACTGTTAAAAAAAGGCTAAAAGAAGCAGCATAATTATGTACAGTAAAGCTTGTCTAAATTTCAGAAAAAACGCATTTTCAGAAAAAAATCATTTATCACATAAATAAAATAATTCAGTTCGTCATTTCTAACGACGGTCGCTTCTGAGCAACGATAAAGAGAAGTACTGCACAACAGGAAGTAAAATGGGAAAAAACAGAGGTGTTAAGTGATTAAAACAGCACTCCCTAAAATCAGCAGAAAAATCAGATTAGTTTTCAGCATAAAACAATTTCCACTGTACTAAGCTCTAAGATAAAGCAATCAAGTCAAACCAATTTTATTTTTTACTTGTCTAAGTTCCATAAACCGCTTGGTAGTGAGGCTTCAGATAATCTTCTAAGGTTATGCGGAAAGCTCATTCATTTTTAGAACCCGTTCTATCCGTTTAAAAAGCTTTTGACTTTTAAACATTAAAAAGAATGAAAATATTCTTTCTCATAAACGGTATTTGAATTTCTCAACTATACTGTACTATAACAGAGATTCTTTGAATTGCTCGCTTGGTAAACACCTTCCGTAATCTAAAGCCGATTAATAGATTACTCCAAGTGAGTCGCACTTTGCATAAAAAGAAAATGCGACATAAAAAACAATTAGTTGCACCTATACCGCTTTGCAGTGATTGCTAAACACCGCAAGCAGTTTATCAATTGTGCGCGAAAAGTTAGTCATTAAGAGAGAACACAAAAAACTTGATATTTGCTGTCATAACAAAAAGTGAGGTCAACAGATCCATCACTGCATTGACTATTTTCGTTTTTTCTTTTCGATTCCCTCTGTAACTACCGACAAATCGATATCAATATTAACAGTTTTAACCAGTTTTGGTGTTGAATGACGAAGCACGGAGTTACTTCTGCAGAACATTTCTCTTATTCTGAAGTCCACTTTAATTCGTTGTTGCCTTAAGAACTTAGTATTTGCTCTGCTATAGAAGACCCGTAAAAACTGCCAGTTTTTAAAAAGATAAGCCAAATTTCCCTTCCAATAACCAAACGAGTAATGCGCACTAAAGGCATGCTATCGCAGACGCTTGAAAAAGCTGACGAATCAAATATAGAATCAGTGCACTTGAACTAGGATATATGATTATCTGACGCTGCTTCATACAACAGTGAAGTACTATTACTGAAAATTGTAGTGCTTAACCAAGTTACAGTTAAAATCCTAGAATCCCTTTCTGTTTCAGTAAGATATTTTACTGCAAATCTTAAAAAGTAAGAAGAGTAATGAAAATTTTTTGTTAATTGCTCATAGTAGTTTCGAAAAATATTAAAAAACTTTTTTTCAAATAAAAATAAAAGTCAACAGTTGACTGCAAAATGTGGCAGTGAAGGTGCAAGATAAAACTGTAAGTCAAATCGTTATAAAGTAAAAAACAAAGAGCTCTCTTAATTAAAACCTGTAAAATTCGATAAAGTTTTTTTTTATGAAAAGTAAATGTAGACAACCTGTACAAGACTGTGAGTCGGAAGATGGTGCATAACCCGCATTACACTCGCATTCACCCTGCCGGAGTTCCCATTTTCCAGTACCTTTGCATACATAAGTCGGATTCCTACTCGTATCGGCTGTTAATAAAAAAAATATAAGAACAAGATTGCATCCTCAACTGAATCACCTTTTCAAAGCGAATGCAAAAATTACACGAATTTCTGAAATTACCCGTTGGGCTCGCATTATCAACACATTGCCCATTGACCGATATAATAGAATCCAACTCACTACCCGTTACTGTTTTTGGAAAATGCGTGAAACGTTGTGTGATCTCAGGACATACTTCATAAAACACCTAAAGATTTGTAGATCATAATTCTTAATTTGCGTCGTTAAGGAAGTAATAAGTCAGAATAATTGCCTCTTCAAAACAAAATCCAAACAATTTAAATAAGATAATGTGCATTCTGTCCACACTCTTCAAAAGTACCGATGAGAAGGAATAAATGAAATGGTAATTCTGAAAGAAG